GAGGAAGTTTTCAAGATTTCTAAATGTCTTTCATTTATCAAGAAATGAAAATGACTCTGCATTTCTTGAAATTGCTCATGAATTCTCCAAACAGTTAGTAATTATTTTATGAGTAATTCAACTCAGTTAGATTTTTTTGAATAAACATTTCAATATTCAATCATTTATATATTACAATTTACTGCGCTTATTCAATGTATAATTGTAAGATTCATTGAAATAAAATTGTTCAAGCAAAATAATTGATTAAAATATGTGCCTCATATGTATTATTTTAAATTAATTTAATCTTGTAATAAACTAAACTGTGATTATTACTATTGAATTAGAGCATCCTGAAATTTAATCCTAGATATGACAATGTTCCTTATTTTAAAATGTTTTTAAGAACTACGAAGCATCTGAAGTTTAGCTGCCTATTCCATATTTATTTATGGTAATAGAATCAAAGCCGGGACAACAGTGAGCCAAGTGAGGCACTTGACTCCGTTGAATGGGTAAGAGAGGCTCCGCATTAGCTATGAATTTTTAATATTTATAAAATAAATTATGTTGGACTAGAAGAGAAACACGCTAATGTGACCATCAAAATCGTAAAAACAACCTTCTATTTAGCGTAGGTATAATGAAACACTCAATCGATCTCGAGGGCAGCTAAAGGTCCCTCCTCATCAGGAGAAAGAAATACCTAGAAAGAAGAAAATAAAGGAGAAGGAGTCACAGAAACACGTGGTCCTTATCAGCACTGCACGTGGTTATAACTAGATTTTTAATCAGAGTTGCACTGGCCGTCTACTTTACTGAGCCAGGCTATCTGATCAAGCATAAAGGACAAGAACAATTAGCGAAATTAAAATAGGGAGCGAGGAGCAAATGCACCTTACGCTCAAAATCTGAACTTCAAATAATGGAAAGCAACCACTGAACGGATTTTTATACCCTCTGGTAGTACCAAACGCGAAGAGGTAACGCCATCTATCGGCAAAAATAACTGAATTAAGATAGTAGAATTTTAAAGGCATTAGGAAAGACTGAATTGGACTTCAAATCATTAACTAAACCTGTTAAATCTTTGTGAATGTGAAAAGCCTCAAGAAAATCCAATTCACCTATGAAGAAGCCTTTTGGATAATTTTTGCAGACCCAAAATCAAAATTATGGTTAAAAGTCCAACTATGATACGCTATTGAAGGCTTGTTAATTTCGCCTTTTCTGACATAAGATTCATGTTCCTTGATACGAAACTTCAATGCTCTTTTTGTTTTGCCAATATATCTTAAACCACATTGACACGATATACTATAAATTCCCCAAGAATTCAAGACAGAAACGCAATCTTTTAGAATCGAAGGGTGAATTTCATTAATAGAGGAGAAACCGACTTGAAAATTGAATTTCTGGAGAATCCGTGCAATTTTATAGCTAACAGAAGGATAAAATGGAAGCACGACAAGGTCATTAATATTATTTCTAACAGTGGAATGTCTTCTTTGATGGGAACCTGAAAATTTTTAACGGCTTTATCAATAATCACGGGAGAAAATCCACGGTCAATCGCAACTGCTCTCAAATAATTAAGTTCATTGGTAAGCAAAGATTCAGAGGAACAAGCAATTAAACAATTAAGCGCGCGGAATACATAATAGTAAAAAGAAGCCATTTTTTGCTTAGCAGGGTGGCATGACTTGGCATGGGGTGGTAAACAAACTGCAAAGGGTTTACGGTACACAGTGGTGCTAAAATCAGTTTCATTGCGGATTATAAGAATATTGAGGAAGGGGAGGGAATTATTGGATTCAATTTCAAGAGTGAATTGGATGGCTGGATCAATTGAATTCATAATAGATAGAATCTCGGATAAATCCTCTTTATAACCGTCAAAAAGTTCGAAAGTGTCGTCAACATACCGAATCCAAAGAAGAAAAGATAGTTTATCAAATAATTTCATTTCAAAATGAAATTATTATTATTTCAAAATGAAATTAGTAGTAGTAGGCGTAAAAAAAGTAGGCGGCCAGTGCAACTCTGATTAAAAATCTAGTTATAACCACGTGCAGTGCTGATAAGGACCACGTGTTTCTGTGACTCCTTCTCCTTTATTTTCTTCTTTCTAGGTATTTCTTTCTCCTGATGAGGAGGGACCTTCAGCTGCCCTCGAAATCGATTGAGTGTTTCATTATACCTACGCTAAATACAAGGTTGTTTTTACGATTTTGATAAATTATGTTGGTTAATTTTCACTTTTGAAACATCATGCTTAAGAAATGAGAAGTTTAAAACATCATACTTAAAGAAATAAAAGGGAGTTACAATTTTGAGCACTTGTGTATCCGCGTGGTTTTCTTTAAACAATTAATGAAATCAAATCAAAAACATAGTTAATTAAAGGCAAGTTAATATTTTAAGTGAGACAGAAAAATCATTAATACGCATTTTATATAGTTTTCAGCTTGCTGTTAATGCTTTATATTTGTATACCCGAATTTAAATAAGGCATCAAATAGTAAATCATTATAATGGAGTGAAACTAAAAGCTTCACTAATCTAATTAATTTAAAATTTTATGCCTTGAATTTAATCCGAATAAAATTATCAGAAACTGAAGGGAAAAAAAATCTGAAAGTTTTCAGATTTTAAATTACGTCCAAAGGGGTTTTTCTTTAACGTTTTGTGTGTTACCTTTATCTATTAAATATCATGTTCTTTGCACTTAAACCATACAATTCAGTTCAACAGCAATATTTATAATAATTTTAAAATGAGCATATCTTTAGAATTTCCGATACGCAGCTTCACGCACTGGAGATAAAAAGGTTTTTTATTTTATTTTTTTTTATTTTTTTTTTTTTCTGTAGAGTATTGCCATTGCTCGCTTTTAAATCATTGAGTTTGTCAATCGAAAATTCGTTATAAAGTTTTATAAAATATGAAATAGTGCCCATATTCGGGTGTAAACGTACGTTATTCAAAATTGGATGGCTCGAGGTACCGTCGTTTTATCACAGTGCGAGAAACATACAAACATTTATGCAGATTCTTCATTATTTAATTTATTTAAATATAATACAGGGCGATAATATTTGGTGGCAACAATGTGAAAATTGAATCGGATATTATATAGTGAACCAGCTCAAAATGTCAAAATGAAAATAATAGTCCTTCAGGGCTAAAACCCTTTGGACTAAAACCATTTTTGGCGAACATTCACTGTCACCGCTTTAGCTTTAGCATCACTTATATTCACTTAATTCCAGCTCTAATATCACTTATAAATACTTTATTTCAAAATATATGTGCTTATCTCATCGAATGAGCTTCTGTTGCTTCGTATATTAGTATATTCTACAAACCGCGTTTACACTATCCTTTTGAGCTGTTGAACGTTTACTCCCAGACGTTTAAAACACATTACATTCTTAAGTCTGAATCCTTATAATAAAGTAAATACTTACAGTTATTAACAGTACTAAGAATTAAGTTATTACAGTACTAAGAATTAATTTGGCTAGTTAACAAGTTCATTTATGATTTCTTTTGCTATTTTGTAGTTTCTCCTTTCATTTTTTATTTAATTAAAATTATATCAAAGTTACATATTTATTTAAAACCCAGATTTTGAAGACTTTACAAAGCTACGCTAAAATATGTTTCCTCGTCTGATTTCTTTATTTTTAATTTCAATAAAATTTTCTTGCTTATTTAAGTATTAATATTTCTCATATTTTCAAACTAAAATTTCAGTGCTCACTTCTCAGATAATCATTAAGTATCGTGTTTGCCTTAACATCTGACCTTCAGACCGCAGTCTGGATGTTTATCACTACCATACTTATTTATACTGAAATAAGAATACTGAAATTAGTATTCATAAATTTTAAACAAAATAACTTTTAATTGAAAAAACTTCTTATTTCTAGGGAAACTGTATATTGAAATTTCTGAGAAATAGAAAGTTTAATTTTTCCCTTAAACACTGCTTATTAATGTGACTGGCAAGTAAAATGGGTTCATAAATTATTTATGAAGTCGTAATAAATCATTGCATAACTTCATTGAATATCTTAATGTAAGTAAAACGTTTGTACGTAACGAGAAAGAATTAAGTAATACAGTCAATTAATGGACATCGAAATTTTTTAAACTAACGTTCTTTGCTTTCTTCTTACTTTCAAATGAACTCAGTCGTAGAATGCAATATAGAACACGATACTTGTTATAGTTTTTAATTAAATCTGAGTATTTGAAGTAAACTGTAAATTTTATCGTGAAATTATTCTATTTGGAGTAGAACGAAATTATTTGTAAATTTACTTCAATAAGAAATCTTTTAAATGTTAAGAAGATGCTGACGAAAATAATACAATACTTTTTCAATTGGTATGTATAACATTATTTAAAAATCTATAACAAAAATATAATCTAAGTTAACAAAAAATATATATATATATATATAAAGACTAGATAAAATTGAGTGCATTTATTCAAACGAAATATTTTGCATTTCCTTTTAGGATGAGTAAACACTCAGTTCATCGTTTCCATAGGAAAGGAGCTAATATTAATATGAACGTATAATCAATTAATATTGCAAAATACGAAAAATAATTGATAAGTCTTTTATTTAATGTAAGCAGGAATCCTGAACTATTCTTATGATAACTGATAGATTTCCGGCAATTTTAATAAGATTTTAAATTTTTTCTGAATCGCGATCATTCTCGTCGATATAATGCAATATCATCAGATGCGAAATATTAAGCAAAATATATACTCCTGTTAAAAATGTATTTTTTCCTTCATGTAAACCGCCCTGCACTCTATTCATTTGCTCGACTTTTATAATATATTTTCAATCTTTATGGACATTTGCATCATCTTGTTTCATAGCAGATATTAATATGAAATAGATGGTATAGTTATGAATCTCAGAAAACGTTTGCCTTTGGCTTTTTTTTTTTTTTTTTTTTTTTTTTTTTTTTTTTTTTTTTTTTTTTTTCGAGAGAAGAATGGAGAAATTCTTTGACTTGTAAATAATGTTTGCGCAGTAGCTCCCAAATATAGCCCTTCCCATTATACTTTCACTCAATTTAAAAACGATGTTCTCCAACTCTAACAGGTCTTTGTGTGAGCCATTATCTTGCTCTTCTGGTATCTTTAATTGTAGCCATATGAGTGGTGCTTTGAGAACATTTTAGCAGACTATTTTGTCTAACTGTTAATGGCATTTTAGTACGTTCTATGCAATTTTTTACCTCTAACACATCAATAAACCATTAATCATGACTTATGTCTAAATTTTCTTTTCAATTCTAATGGAGGTCTATGAAATTCCGATTAAGAATTCTGATGATAATTTAGAAAATGTCTTTCTTGAGATACTTTAAAAAAGAAGTCTTAGAGGTTATAGGGTTCCAATCTTGGATTCACAGCTATGTGTGTGGAACCTTGATAATTGGCAAGCGAATTAGCTCAGGAAACAGAAAAGTAAACGCAAGAAGGGTTAATTACCCTTTATTGCTCAAAATAAGGATTAACAGATGGCTCTTTTCTCAGGACGTACAAAAGAGCCTCCACTTGGGCTTGAACTCAAGAGTACTAACAAAATCAAACTTAACTAATGCTTAGCTAAAACGATATAGCCGAAGAAAATCAAATTCTACAGGGGTTGTCCCTTAAATGCTATATAAGTCAACGGCGAAGCTATCAAGGGCCTGCAACACGGCCGAGCGTAATTAGAGAGAGTGTAGCCAAAAGGCGAAAGCGAGCCTTTTGGCTACACTCTCTCTAATTACGCTCATTTCATCTGTGGGATGTGCGAATCAGTAATTATTTTATGTTTCTATAAGTGTTTAAAAATATTTTGCTGTATTTAGTCTTCCGTTTGAATGAAGAAACACGGAAGATTTATGAATACCGTTACAATGTTTAATAGTTTTTTCAACTTTTTGAATTTTTCAACAGTTGAAGACGTTAACAAATTCTTTTATAATTGTGTTTGGAGCAGAATAATTTATTTTCGGAATTTTGGCTATCAAACTAATCAAACTAACCAAAGATAAAGTTAAGAAGATAAATTTATAATCCATCAAGAAAATTACCATCTTTCAGTCTTCAACAATAAACTCAGCCATATTCCTCTTACTTCAAAACATGTTGTACGATTTAGGTAATTTAGGTAAAAATAAAGTGCCGAACAAATACTAATTCGTACGATCGTACAATTGCCTCCTGTTAAGCCAAATATAGTCCCTTCGTACTCCTATTAAGCCAAATGTAGAGATAGGAAATTACTGCATCTATGAAGCAGCGAGGTTTAGCCATTTAAACCAACCAGTCTATATCTTTAATGAGTCCTCGTGATGTGACTAAGGTTTCACTTGACATATCGAACTAAGCAACATAGTCATTATGCATTTTATCAAGTACAAATATTTACAAAGTACATTTTGCTGATGAAGTCCCCACTGATACAGGGTTATTGAATGCAAGCAGCTTTGTGACAGCTTTCTGAGAAAGCAATTACTACAATTCTGTCATTGGTCGCTCGTAATGATCTAGTAGAATAGCGCATGAACAACAAGCGCAATAAAACTTATATTATACACATAGTGGCATGCTTATGCTTTATTGTCTACTGAAAATCTACACCAGTCTGCACTCCTGTAATAATGAGGTACTTCAAATGCAGAATCCAATCCCTGCTGACTTCAAAATTAAAACATAAAAGGAAAAAATTATATTTCTCTGAAATTTCACTTACAAGCTATTAAAATTTGGTATTTAATACATGAAAAATATATCTCTTGTATAAAATATCAAAATCTTTTTAATATTTAAACAAATCAAAACAAAATTATTTATGTAAACACACAGCTGTTTGGGAATTTTCAAGTAGCTGAAGTGAAAATCTAAAAATATAGTTAATATATTTTTAATACCAATCTAAATGATAACAATGTTTTACAATCTGAGAAATGACACAGGAATAATTGAAAAAAATAGTTTATGGATCATTATTAAAAGACTAGTGAAGAGGCACTAATGAGAATTTGAAACGTCGTACAGTGGCTATTTAAATCAACTGGAAATGACTATATTAGCAATTCATCTCTCATATATATGTTCGAAGAAAATAAATCAAATGACTGATGAATCTAATTCGACATATGCATTACTGAAATGTATGCAATATGAGTCTGATATAAAAGAGTTTGTATGAAATTCTCACCAGCAAATGTCTAGTTAATAAGTAAACTTAAAATATTTTAGCAAAGTTTTATATTAAATTTCTAACCCATCGTATTAAACTTCTACAGTAATTAAAGATTTTGGTTAATTTTCCTACTATTTTTCTTATTTTTTTTTTAAGAATTTTGCTTACTTTTCATTAAAACTATTAGAAACATCAGAAATTATACAAACCGTTTTTTAATTGTGTGCACACATAGATTCATCAACATTGATCTGTAGAATTTTAAACTTCTTTATTTACAGTCTTCGGGTCTTCGGATTTGTTTCTTTAAAATAATAATTCAGTCTTAGCAGTAAATAAAAATTTTAATCACTTTTAATGGCAGTATATGTGTTATCACATTACATTTTTATTTTTATTTAACTGTTATATAAACATATTTGTTTAAGATATGTATTTAGAATGTAAACTATTTTACAGTATTATTATTGAATTTACCACTTTAAAGCTGTGTATAGCTATAATTATTGCTAAATGTTCCAAAAGACTAAGAACGCTTTTTAAAATAAAGTACTGCTTCAGACATTTAAAACACTTCTGTTTGCAGCCATGTCAAAACGTGGAAATGATATACAGCTAGGCTGTGTCTCAGAGTATATGATTTATGGTGCAACTGTCCAATTCGAAGTTCAGAACTCTCTTAAGAACAAACACTATGTCATTAAAGTGACATACTAGGTGCAAAAACTGGACAGAGGAAAATGAGTTAGAAATTGCGCATGTGGACTAAATGAATGATACTTGTCGTAACCCACTGAGCCTCACATACACAAAGGAAATGAAAAATCTACATTTTGACTTATGTGCTAAAAGACATATGTGCTAAAAGATTAAGAATAAAATATTTCGCATTTTTTGAAGTTGGAAATAAAAACAATTAAAAAAATGTTTATTTGCAATTAAAATATAATAAATAAGCTAAATATTTTTTCGCTTCTGTATAATTGGGTACTGACATTATTTTTCAAAGAAAATACCTCTAAGCAACAGGAAAAAAAAACGTATTTGTTCTAAAATGTTTTCATAGTACTGTATTTCATACGGCATTTTCTGCACTGTGTACTGTGCACATATATACAGCATTTGTAAACTGGTTTGTAGATTTTTGTAGATCGGTTTGTTTTATTTGACTAGGGCAAAATACACAACGGGTATCTGCATAAGGGGAGGGATGCTTTCATGATTCCCAAAGTAAAACTATTTTTATCTACGTTACACATAAGAGAGCCACGAAAACACTCGTGCAATCAGCCCATTCGACTGAAATCGAACGCAGATTGAACTAACCATGGTCAGGGATTTTAGCGCTCGGCGCCTGTCTTGCCGTAACTTTAGAAGACAATGAAGAAGTTTCATGTGTTCAGGCTACCATGCGGCTACCATTCCGCGAAAAATTAAATAAATAAATAAAGTCTGAAAAGATTCAGATTTTAACGTCACCCAAAAGGGCCATTTTTATTGTAATTTTATATGCTTTCTCTAATGCCGAAGTTGATCAGTATGTTCTTTGTATTCACTACTGTTGACTATTCTTCCTGTTATTATTCTACCATATAATGAAAAATAAAAATTTTCATTGATTTCTTCTTGACGCAACTCTTCTGACCATGTGATATTCTGAAAAGTGCTTCAAGAAAATTATGGCAACCCTGAGGAGTACGACTGACTCGAAATATCATTTATCCTCTAGGGTTAACCGAAGTTGTGGAATCTGATTATTTGAAAAGTAATACAGACATCAAAAGTGTGTGGACAAAACAAATGAGGTTCGAGACCAAGGGCAAAGGAAAAGAAAATTAGAGGTTATCCAAAAATTTTCGTCGGCTCAGGCAATTTGTACGTTGCCATGTAGGTACGCGCGCTTAGAGCGCTACCCTGCTCGAATATTATAGACGATTTTCGATTTTATAAAATTTCGAAACATGTGCATGGCATAAAAAACAAGTGAGATAAGTAATATACACGTAGATCTGTAAGTATGTCCATGAAGAACAAAATAAACGAGTCCGAACGAGACTTGACACTACGACTGTAACTGGTATGCCATGTCGAGCGAAGATAAAGTGTGACACAGTGCGAATATAAAGAAACACCAGTGATTGAAGGAGAGTCCTAGAGTCCAAATGTGTGACACAATAGATATGATACTAATACATATGATACAAATGCAGCAGGATGACAACAGTGTATAGCAAAAAGTAATTAATTACATACATGAAAACAAATGAAAAATAAGGTATAACATATAAGATAAGGAGCATTCATATACATGAGGGAACAAATATACATAATACAATGACAATGCACATAGGATAATAAGTTAGTTAAAGAGTATATATATATATTGATTTAGTTTAAATGCCTTAAGACCGCAAGTGGCCTTTTTCTGTACTCCAGTGTTTTAAAGTTGTAATTTAGCACAGGTATAGTGGGATTTAAAACCATGGTGATGTTATTGAAAAATCCGTGAGGCAGAGTGGCCATGTAGACATATTAATAAGGCATATTGAATTCGCGGTGAATCGCCGAGTTCCTTATGAACCACGGACAATCCGCCGCTTGTCTTAACGCAATGTTTTGCAGAACTTGCAGTTTTTTTGTATTAAATTCACTTGCATATCCATAGGCAGGGCAGGCATATGTGATGGTGGAACATAACATGGCTTTGTAAATGAGTAATTTATTGTCAATAGAAAGAAGGCTCTTTCGAAAAATTAATGGGAGGAGTGTACGTTTACGAACTCGGAACTTGGCAATGAGCTGTGTGATGTGTGGGATCTATGTGAGACATTGGTCAAGGATAACGCCAATGTATTGGACGTGCTTGGTCCAAGGGATGGGAGGGCCATACATATTGATATGGACATTATAATCAATATTTTCTTTCTCGTAAAGAGAATTGCATCAGACTTATCCACATTAATCTTGATTTTCCAGGCCAAAAGCCAGGACTGCAGTGTGTGGATGTGATTCTGTAGTGTTTGGATGAGAGGCGTGAGATGCATTTTGTGATAGAATTGCCGTATCATCTGCATACATTGCTGGAGTGGTGTGTTGTGTATGTGGGATGTCGTTCGTGTAAATATTGAAGTAGAGCGGGCCTAAAATGGACCCTTGTGGGAACCCATCACTAATGGGCCTGGGGGAGGACATTTTGTTGTTGACCCAAACGACTAAGTGTCGATCCATAAGATAAGAATAAGTGATGTGAGTGATGTAATCTGGGAAACCCATGTTTATGATTTTGTGCATGAGGCCCTCCAGCCAGACTCTATCAAAGGCTTTTGCCACATCTAGGAAGATGGCCACAGTGATGGATTTTTCTTGTAAACCTTTGGAGATCAGCTCTGTCACTCGATAAAGTTGGTGGTTGGTCGAATGCTTCTTTTTTCAAGCTATGTTGCTCGGCGATCAATAAATTGTTATCATTGAGATGTTTTAGTAGTCGTTGTTTAATAATGAATTCTACAACTTTCCTTGTAGATGACAGTAAACTGATCGGCCGATAGGAGACTGGATCAGTGGCTGGCTTGCTAGGCTTTAGGATGGGAGAGATAACCACCGTCTTCGATGGTGTAGGGAAATGGCTAAGATGCAGCATGTTGTTGATGATTTTTGTCACTTTCAAAGTCATGGGTACTCCCATGTTCTTGAGCATCTTGTTACTGATGAAGTCAATCCCAGGGTTTTTCTTGCTCTGATGTTTGCAGATATAATCATAGACCTCTGACGGTCTGACAGGAGGAATATTGTTCGTGTGTGGTTTTGAGAGAAAATTTGTTAGTGTCTGTGAGACATAGTGGTCTGTCTCACAGACACTAACAAATGATTTTTTTAATGTTTTGTGGGTGGGATATGTTGTTTGTGGATGGGATATGTTGTTAGTGCAGAACTGAATAGCATAGTGATCAGCAAGTAACTCAGCTTTCTCAGTTCCGGTGTAGGCAATTCCTTGGGGGCCATTTAAGGGCGAAATGTTGTTGTAGCATCTCAGAAGCTTGTTAGTAGCTTTCCAGATATTATTTTCTTCTGGTGATAGTGAAGAAAGATAGACGGCCCAGTCGAGGTCTTTTTGCTTACGTGTAAGGGCGCTGACTTGGCGGTTAAGTTGATTAAGGAGTTCACTATCGGGAGGATATCTTGACCGCTGCCATTCCTTCCTTGCTGCATTTCTGCGTTGGATCAATTTTTCGATGCGAGTATTGCATTTCTCTTTCCTGATCGCAGGTGCAGGTTTGCTATTGTTATTCAGAGCATTTTGCAGTTCAAGAGTAAAATTATAGACAATAGCGTCTAACTCATCACCTGAGTGTGCTGTTGGAATGTGAATTGTGGTGTTGCAAAAGGCTTTGGTAAATCTAGACCAATTGGTTAAGAAGGCCTTTTGTGTGGTGTGTTACGAATAGAGATCAAAATCCATCGCAACTGGATTATGGTCTGATGACAGTTCAGTTAAACTGTCAACAGATTTAAAGGTACAGCAAGAAACCTTGCTACCTTGAGCAAGAAAAAATCAAGGACTGTGTCTTCCGTCGTAACGTGTTGGGGTTTGTGGAGCTGCAATTGTAATACCGACCTTAGTGGCGAAGTGGTAAATTACATTTCCTAGGTATGTGTTATTAGTGCAGTTCCAGGCGCAGTGGTGTGCATTAAAATCTCCACCTTGTATGGCTTTGCTGTTAAGTTTAGCTAATGCATCAAAATCCTGCATAATATTTAGCTATGATCTTTTGTTGGATGAGACATAGGCAGAGATGAAAGTGAATGGGCGTGTGGTGAGTGGAGTGATTGTGATAGTTAGGGCCTCTAGGGCTAAAAGCTGTAGATTTTCGTCTGACACTAATAAAGAGGAGTTTACCACTAATTTTACCACTACAAAACATTTTAAGAATTAGACATATTTTGTTTTCCTGTCAAATGAAAATGGTATTTACTATTGCCAAATCATAAAAATAAATCGGTGCAACTGAATGAAATTAAAGCGCTATTTATAAAATTTTCAATTAATTGTAAAAGCTCCAGCGTTTGTTTTTACATTTCGTTTGTGAAGCTAAATTGCTATAAACTCAAAAACACAGAAATGTTATAAAAATTAAACTACCGCTTGAATAAAAGTGTAAAACAAAATATGGAAACATGATTTTAAACTTCCTGAAACCAGTCTAATAAATATTCTTGAATACCATTTGATTAAATTTTCGACCAGGTGTAATACCCATCTCCGTCCAATATTTCAACTTAATGCCCTGCTACTGGCCTACAAAAACTTTATAATAACAATAAGCAATTAAAACGCAAGTTTTTAGCTTGTCTGAAGGATAATGTAGAAATATCTAGTTGTTATTGTAAGTTTTATGACAATTTTAATGAAATTTGATATGAATATTTATTTATAACAGAGAAAAAGATGCATGCACACTGCGGGGAAAAAAAAAAAAAAAAAAAAAAAAAAGAGGCCATTTCTACATTTTCTATTCTACTGGACAGATTTGCCAAATTCAACTTACGTTTTTTCATGTCTCGAAAGCGTGACTTAGGATATGTATTAGATTTATATATAGCATTGTCCTAATATAGGTATTCTGACACAAAATCGGACTTTTTCTGAAATAACATACCAATTTTTTATTTGAAATAACATACCTGTTTAATGAGACATTCATTTAATCCAAACTTTCAGCTTTGTTTTATCTTTAAAATTAAATTTAAGGAATTGTTTGATATAATTTTTTTCGCGAAATGGTAAAACATTGCCAGCGACGTTCTTCATGTATCCACTATTTCGATCAACATTACACCAGAAGTAATCAGTACGTTTTGAATCTCATGATTTTGGTGATTTGAAACTGCAATGAATATTTCACAAAGGATGTATACTTGGTAGGGATATAGGCAAGGCATTCTGCTGCTGAAATAAATCATTTTCTTCAGGATATATAAAGGAAGCGAAAAGATGTAACTGATAAGCCTGTATATTCTTGTATTCTTGCTTAAAAAATAAGAAAAGGTTAACCTGACGTTAGCACTGGTTTTATAGAACAAAAGCCGATCTAAATTCTGCGGTAATCTAATGTTGATAAACTGAAGGTTGACAAATGTTTTTTTGCTAAATATCTTATTTAATATTGATGAACTATCTCTTCTCTATATTCTGGCACAATGCAGAATTTGAATATTGCTCTAGATATATCAAAAGCTCCAAGTCATTCCGTGACATTGCCTCGCACATTATCATAGAGATGTGGATAGAACTAATTTAGAGAGAACTAAATTCTAACTCTTAACTAGTTAAGAGCTATCAACTATTTCAAGCTGCCTGTTCACCTCTTTTGTGAAGGAGGGTGGAAATTGAACTCCACACTCATTAAAAGATCGACGCCGCCATTCAGGACAAGACATTTATTCCTACTCACTATACATATACTATGATACAGAAAAACTAGCAAGATTATACAGCAAGGATACCACTACTTTCATCGTGTCTTTACTGAATCAGTGAAGCGGAGAGCGGTCCGAAGAGACCACGTTTCTAACATTATACAGGAAGTCTGATCAGTTTATGTATTGGTCGTTTCATTTCACCCGACGCAGTTTTTAAGTTGACTGACCTTACTCTTTGGTTAGTTCTCTTGGAAGTGCAAATTACTTTATTTACATATGAACATTTTAAATAATTACTGGTGTGCAAAACTTTCAGTTATAAAATTGAAAAATTTCAACTATCTTGCTTGAATTAAGAATATGCAAATTCGAATAACAAATAAATATTTTTAGCAAATGAAATTAATTTATATTTTATTTCTCTGCCTTATTAAGTAAACTGAATCATAAATTTAAATGAAATTGTTGGTATCTTAATTCGCTTAACTATTTTATTTTACTGATTAAAAATTTATTTACGTGTCGTAATATTCCAGGAAAGCAAAAGCTTGATTTATATATTCCTTAAATATGATACTATAGTCTGATATTTACTTTTTAGGCTGAGCAAAGATTCTTAACCCTACATTTGTTATGTTTTTCTTTCTTTTGCAGGTCAAGAAAATGTATTTTCGGAAAAAGATATAAGATCAGTACTCGATAGTGCACGTCAGAAGATACTTCGCAAAGCGAAGTTTAAGTCACTCATGATCACTGTCGTTATCGTCCTAACCTTCGTGGTATGCTGGACTCCTTACTACGTAACAATGATTATCTTCATTTTCCTGGAACCAGATGAACAGCTAAGTGAAGGCCTGCAGTCTGCTATTTACTTTTTCGGAAGTTCTACAGCCATGCTCAACCCGCTTATATATGGAGCATTCCATTTGAGGCCTCGTCGTAAGCCACAGTCAAAATCCACCTCAGTTATCAACAACAGTAGTTCCACTCGAGCTGAAACTTCATTGATGACATTCCGCAAGAGTAATCCAAGAAAGAGTAAAGAAGAGAATTTGGCCCAACACATAAATGGAGATGCCTTTGGTCTAAACCTTTGTCCATACAGACAAAGGAATACTTCTTCTACAGACTGTGAACGCTTGAGAAAATCTGTACCAGAAGAAATTACTTCATTTTAAATGACAGTAATACTGCCTGATCTGAAATTGTTATTTCATGTATCACAAATGGAAGAAACCTTTTAAGTTACTTTAATATTTACTATAAAAACTAATCCTACTTCTATGTTTTTATAAAAAAGGACTATGTTTCTTAGATTCTAAGGGTTACACCCGAAAAAAACACGGCAAAAATATCGCGGACGAAAATAACGCAAGGCGGAAACGTCGTGGTACTAAATATGGGAGAAAAGAAATCGAAGAGAAAACATCACAGTTCTAAAATATCGTGGTACAAAATACATGGTAAAAAATAAAGCGATTTAAAAATTTCTCAGTTTAAAAACATCGTCTTCGAAAATATCGGGGTAAAATATAAAGTACCTACAAAGCATCGCAAGATGATAATATCACACACATATGTTTTTCAAATTCCATACTTACATATTATGTAACTGTCGTTCGTCATAACTAACAAATAGACATTGAAAAAATTGATTGCGCGCTATGCATGAAAATGTTGACAACACTTTAAGGATAAACTAAAACAAAACAAAATGCAGTATTCACTAAAACAATATCATATTAATAAATGTGAAAGAAAATAATTGGATAATCAACTAGGAAATTTTTAATGAGATAACCTCATGCAGTTATTTATCTTCTTTTTCTAACCACTTTTAGTCTGTATTTTTCACTAAAAAATATCAGCAAAACTTTATAAAAAATGTGATGTGTACACCACATGATTTCCTTGTACGGAATATTAAATTATACGCATTTTTTCTTGCATTTTGTTTAACCTTATTGGATTTAATTATATCTACTTCGCCGACAGCGCATAAACCACACTAGAAAAAGTGCATTTTTTAAAATTCACTCTGTTTGTTTACCATAGCGACATTCTGGCGCTAAGTTCACTTAACAGTATTATATTTCGTTCATATTATAACTCAGAATGCACAAAATTTGTATCATTTAAAGAATTATCTAATCGTTGCCACATGTTCTATTCAAGTACTATAATAAAGCTACAACGATGTATAAAAGAAATTAAGCAAACAAAACTAAAAAGAAACAGTTTTTCACAGACGATTGAGTATTTCTCATTTAATTAATTCAGTTCTCATTTCGCAACAAGGCAAAAATACATAAAAACTCAAAATATTTCTACTAAAAATTACTAATTATTAAAATTTAAATTATTAAAAATTAAGTAAATCTTAAAACACTTATTTCCTCGAAAAAAATTCCAGAAAGGATTAAGTATTGATTTAATTGGCATAATAATAAAATGAAGGCGTTATCTTTGTTGTTGCGAAGCTTAAGTTTCTCTAGATTGGCTACCAAATCCACTAGTCTGGTGTTTCAAATGTAAACAAAGCAACGGCCGCCATCGAAAATAGGTTAGCGGCACATAAACAACTTTTAAATTGTTGATAATTCTAAAAATATTGCATGACAGATTTACTAAAGGCATATAAAACCCTTAACCGGAAGATAAGAACAACATAATTTAATCATTTTTTTAAAGAAAAAAAGTGTACAATTTACAAACATATGAGTAAGAGTAAAGAAACTGAAGATTCACTGAGCCAGGGGTAACAGAGTGGATATATTTATAATATATTTATATACGCTTTTGGCGCGGCCGATTGCAACCAAAATACGAGGTGCACATCTACATGTTATAGTAGTCCCGTATACAAAATTTCAACGTTCTGAGGCTACTCGTTTTTGAGTTATGCGAGATACGTACGTACGTTCGTACGCACGTACGTACATACGTTCGTACAGACGCCACAAAAAATTCTCTTCAGAATTCATTTTAAAGCAGTTTTTATTTTTTTTTTTTTTTTTTTTTTTTTTTTTTTGAAAAGAGTCTTTTATTCTGTCCTTACGTACAGATATCACGCGAAAACATCGTTAAATTGCATTCGAAAGCGGTCAAAGTGAATATTTTCGTTGAAATATGCTACCTGAAGCTTTTCGCTATTACAATACTTCCTTTTTAATTAGTACAAGGAAGTAAAAACGGTTAATTTTTAATGACCTTTATTAATTAACTATGCAAATTTAAAATTCTGTTAAGTTCTATAAGTTGCCTTAATTTTCTACTCATTTTCAATTTTTAAATGCTTAAGTTTCCTTCTTTATTTTTTCAGCAAAAATTTATTATTTCATTCAAAAATATGAAATATAGAAGTAAAGGAATCCCTCTTTTCTTCTTTACGTTCCCAAATCATTATGCGAGCATCTATTTATATTTTTTAAAACCTGTTATCGTCATGCGATGATTTGTAGGTACTTTCATTTTTTACCGCGATATTTGCGACGACGATGTTTTTAAACTGCGAAGTTTTTGAATCGCTTTATATTCGACCACGATATTTTTTACCATGATGTTTTAGAACTGCGATGCTTTCTCTTTGCTTTCTTTTATCTCACGATGTTTTGCACCACGACGTTTTCGCCTTACTTTCTCCGCGATGTTTTCCGCGGACACCGATTCTAACATACCATCGATTGCAAAATGTAGGACTTAATATCAGTACCATTCATAAAAAAGAAAAGAAGATTTCGATTATAAGAAACTAATATATTAATTTAGAAGTCAAACAACAAAAATCAGCGGTATGCGCTTTGGTAGCTGAGGGTGATGGCTCGGTAAAAGCATCGAAACTAGTTTGTGAAAATTTGCAAATCAATTGCTGATTTTTGTTGTTTGACTTTTAAATGAATACTTGTTCAGTGTGTTATTTTATCTTAAACTAATACATGTTTAAGAAGATTCTGTTTTAACAATCAATTTAATTCTATTTTAATAATCAACTTAAGAATTCACTAATTTATTAACAACAATAGTGTTTCTGCTTAAATTAATTGTTTAAAAAATTACTGCTTTGGAATAATTATTAGTTTGGAAAATTCTGTTATTCTACGACACTATCGTTTCTGAATGCATCTGGAAGAGTAAGACATGCAATAAATTCAAGCTGCAAAGGAAAAAAATTGTTTTTTTCAATGTATCAGATACTCCGAGGGGGAGCATTAGATGTAAGATCGAGAAAAATTAAACTCTTGAAAGAATTAATTAACTGAAAGATGTAAGATAGAGACGAAAAATGAAATACGAAAAGATACAAGATGAAACACTCGAAAACGACCGAACAAAATGTACACCAAGACTGATTTTTTCACAAATGTTGCCTAAATACCTATCTATATTTTCGAACTCCCGGCCCATTCAGTTGCCTAACTATTAGAGGACCGTTACATAAATGTTTGTGGGAAGAAATATTACACACCTCTAAAAAAGCAAAAATAAAATGTTTAAGCATTCATATTACTCTTGTATTAATAGCGTGCGCCGTAATCTTTGTGGTGTCACATAAAACTATTAATTCGAAGTACTAAGATCAAATCTCGAAATCGTGATGTTTTTCATTTATAAAGGAATTATTGAAAAATGAAACGCTGTAAAAGTTTTCTGTTAGAAGTTAGTAGTTTACAGTGGAGAAAAATGGGAATCTACTGAAGGTTTCAAATCATATTTTAGAGAAATGTTTATAAAAATTATATTGTATTTTCTTCCTCTCTGTGGGCCAGCGTGGTGTAACTGGAACCATGGTCGACGCATATGCGGAGGGTCGAGTGTTTGGATTGTGCACTTTTCATGTTCCTGAATCGATATAATCTAATGACTCTGTTAAGTTAATAAAAATAGAAATTTTATTAACTTCATAGAGTAATAAAAATAGAAAAGAAGGATTTTTTCCGAAGAGATCTTAAATTGCAAAAACTCATTATTTATCTTCTTTTTTTTTTTTTTTTTTTTTTCAAAGTACCATTCATTGGTCTTTTGTACTTATTTATATTTTGGAAATTATGGAAAAATAAAATAAAATACAAATAAATGGAAAGTACATTTTGTGAGAAATTTACGCATACACTCTTTTTTACGTTAATTAAAAATATCAACTCGAATAAATTAACTATCTGAATAAAATAACGGTAAAGGAATTAACAACTTCGCTACAGATACACATTTTGAATAAATATTTTGATTTAGATAAACCTCAATTATTCAATACATTTATTAATATTATTAATTTATCTTTTATTGCTACAATGATAAATTAGTTTTTTTTTATAAATCTTGTGAAAGATATTGTAAGCAGATAAAAAAGTTAAACCATGAAATGAACAAAAAAATGAAAAGGACGTTAATAGAAATACAGTTAAATCTGCGCACGCCGAATTTGTAGCACTTTGTGATGCCACAAGGCCATTGGCGCTGATTACAAAACCGGGTATATTAATACTATAAATAAGGCTTAGAATTTGAAAGTCAGTTTTCTAACTTATGCGTGTTCCTCTCTTCATATATTCAATGCTTTAACTGTACTGAAAGTAAGTGTAGGTAATTCGGGCAAAACTAGTAAATAATGATCGTGCGTCTTATAAGTAAGACGTACCTTTTTCAGCGACTTTTAGGGGATATAGTTGAAATCAAAGAATTGCAAAGTACCGGCCCACGGGAATGACTGTGATTTCCACACCGAAGGTCCCGAGTTCGAATACCGGACAAAGCATGTATGTTGTAAATGTATAGCGTCTTTTTGGCATGGAGGTACTCAAAATATACAGGAGCCGAAATCCCTCACATGTTGTTTAGTGATACAGGAAGAGAGGTCGGAGACCATCGCTCCTCCCTCCGAATGCTCTTTCTCTAACTTGGGTTGCTGTCAACCAAAATCGTGCTGCCACCTATTGGGTAACCACGGATCTTGTCAACGACGTACGTAATCTTATACTCCTTGCAACGATAAAATTCGTGGGCTTGTTCTGATAAATCAAACAAGTGAGATTATTCACAACAACAGCACAATAAGAAATACAGTAATCATAAACACATTTTTACATTAACGTCAATGATTAAAAAGAGATTTTTCCAACTCTGGAAGCTTCAATGTCAATACTATTAATTTTAAATTATAATTTTTGCTCAATATTTCTCCTTAAGAGATCCAAACTATTTGGCATATTAGCGTCCTTTACACACTAAACTAATTTCCATAACATAAACTGACTAAAA